TATTTCTGTTGGAGGCCGAGTCGACCTCAGGGCCGTAGTGAGGTTGGATTAAGCCGTTTTAAAAATCCAATGACCTCATCGGGAATAGAACCCGCGACCTTCCGGTTTGTACCATAGTGCCTGTAGCAATTATAACCCCTGCAACCAAATACGTAAGTAAGAAATTACTGTTACAGAATGCGAGAGAATATGCTGTTTTCTCTTGAGAGGTGTGGCAGCGGTAGTAGAGTACGAACAATCCATAAAACCGGGAGACTTTTCTAAGAACTGAATGCTCATTAGAAGCAAGGTTTCTACTACAAAATCAATTATACACAGGAGTATGATTTTCAATTGCATGCTCAACCCCTCAGTATGGAGCGGTGTTCGCATACTGCGCTGTATTTTTGTTGTATTGAATATATGAAGCTATAAATTTACGTTGACTTCAAACTAACTATTCCCAATTGCTCATTATCGGACACATCTACTTCAGGGTAGTGCAATATGTACTGCTGGTCGTCTGCAGCACAGTCATTTTCCAGGTACATGCTTTGAAATGTCTCGCGAATCCAAGATTCCACATGTTAGGCGTTAAGTCCCTAAATATTTAAATTTTCCACGTTCATTACAGAACTTTCCCAAATAGGAATAATAGCCTAACAACCAGAACCGGCCTTACTACGCCCAGTACGCATCGATAGCTTGAGCCCCATATCTAGTGGCAAACCCACGAATCTATGACCATTGCATGACCTGGAAACGGCAAGGGAGTGTTGGAGCCGCTGGAGCATGTCGTATGTAGCAGGCGTACGTTCAGGAAGTTTGTGTTGTGTTGGCAAGAGTATGCGGTAAATATTAGCTAAAGTGTTTTATAGTCAACAGGATGCAGCAAAATATGAGATACAGAAGATGGCGTTTTCAAGCAGCGAAGTGTTTGATTTTAATCATATTCTAGACAGTTATGGGATGTTACCGAGAAGGTAGTTAAGTGACCGAACAGTTATCAAAAGAAGAGCAAATTTGGAAGTGTACGTAGTAGTGCACTTAAATTCGTATTTCATTATGGTTTTATAAGTTCCTAGTTTTATTGAATTTATGGCAAAGAGCAACATTGAAAGGGATGCCATTTTTCTTAATCATTAATTTATTAGCGAACGTGGATTTTTTATGGCTATTATGCTTACAAAACTATATAACATATATAACTTAACCCGTCACTTTTCAAATCGAAATCTTAGCAGAAATAGTGTAATTTACATAGTGAAATGGAAAGAGTAAATATAAACAGAAGTTATGCTTTTCTGTTGTATAAATTTTGAGTGGCAATAAAGATATGTTAGAATGTATTTCCTCTTACAATTTCGCATTAATATGGTAGAAACACAATATTGGGAGTTATTCAAGAGAGAATTAAACTCAGCCATTGATAAGAACTACAAGTTTGAGTGTACCATGGCTGAAGAAAATAACTTGTAGTTATTATAAATGGTAAGTGTTGCAGTTGGAATTATATATTTCTCACTTGTCATAATGGCTTATTAATGAGGATGTATTTATAGATCTGTAGACAGATTTGTGCTGCATGTGTCAGCTGACGTGATAATGAAGTGTCACTGAGCAGGTTGGTGTAGTGGTGATTATCTAGAGTTGTATTTTGTAGACACTGAGGCACAGGTTACTATGACAAAGGTTTTTTTATATATATATCTTTTTTTCATCAGTCCTGTCAGGCAAATGCTGGGATAGTACCTTCATCCACCCATGACAACTTCCAAATTCTTTCCAGTCCATTATCCTTTGGTCATCCTACCATTCAGTGCTGTATGTCATGAAATGAAACACAAAGAATGAAGTGTATAAAATTAATCACTCTTTGCTATTCAAAGCAGGTAGTCTTGTACGAGCCTCTTATCAATCCACATGAGGCTGTAATTGGCACTGACTCCATGAATGTAGCTTCAGTAGTTAAATTATAATATTTGTGGTCAGTTCTTCTACACCACTTTAACGTCCCATTTGCATAAGCTCTGCTTTTGGTAAGCATTGAAGCTGGTGCTATGTCAAAAGCGTGTGTATTCATATTCATATTCATATTTATTTCAAGTTCAGTTGATCCATACATGAGTTGAAAGTACAAACTGTTGGATATAGAACGTGTCACAAAGTAAATACTAGTCTAAGTTCCCAATCATTGGAACAGAGTCAAAATACCCGATAAGAACGATATATGATACAGTACACACATTATTAAAATTTCATTTAAATACAATAAGATAAAACCATAAATTAAAAGTACCAGTAACATATGTATTCAACAATGACTTTANAAAAAAGCAGCGGTCCAAGAATTGACCCCTGCGGAACACCGTGTTTGATCTTACCCCACTCTGAGGTCCTCTTAACTTTTACAGAGTTCTCTTCAATAAGGACTCTTTGATATCTGTCTTTAAGATATGATTTCATTAACAAGTTAGCACTTCCAGTAATCCCATAAAATTCTAATTTCTTCAATAATATATCGTGATTAACACTGTCGAATGCCTTTTCTAAATCACAGAATATACCTCCCACCACAGACTTGCTGTTCCATGCTTGTAGAATGTACTTTAATAAAGTAAATATGGCTTTCTGAGTGGAGGAATTACTTCTAAACCCAAATTGATCTGTAGATAATATATTATTATTAACGACATGTTCTAATAATCTTGCTAGTATAACTTTCTCAAATATTTTTGAGAAGGATGTCAATAGTGAAATTGGTCTATAGTTCTTAATATCTTTTTTATCACCCTTCTTATAAATTGGTTTTATTATGGAATATTTCAATCGAGATGGAAATTTACCTGATAAGATTACTCTGTTGCAAATATAATTTAATGGGGCAACAATATATGGAGAGCTTATTTTTAGTATTTTGAGGGAGATTTCATCGTATCCAGATGAATTTTTAGGTTTGAGATCTTTGATTATTTTTGCAATCTCCTTAGTCGATGTCCGTTTCAGATCTAGTTTTGGAAAAGGTTTCTTAAAGGCTTTGAAAAGGTAGTCCATACAGTTCTTATCAGGAATATCATTCCTATTTATATTAGATCTTATTTTATCTACTACAGAGAGAAAATAATTCTGGAAAACATCAGCTATATCACTGCGCTTTTCTCTTGGAGTCTCTGAATTATATGCATCTATGAATTGCAATAATCTATTGTCTGATTTTTTCCCTGTTATGGTTTTAACAATTTTCCACGCCATTACCATTTTATTACTTGAATTAGTTATTAGTCTATCATAATTAAGTTTTTTTGCTGCTTTTATTACCTCTGTTAAAGTTCTACAGTATAAATTATAATGCTTCTTTAGATTATTATCCTTATGATTCCTACAATGTAAATAAAGTTCTCTCTTATGTTGACACGAGACTTTTATACCAGTAGTTATCCAATTATTATTTTTACACTTATCTCTTGTTATTTTTTTTAATGGGAAACTGGTATAGAAGACTCTTTGTGTCATCACACTTGCAACAGAAGGGTTATGTGTATTATATTACTAATGAAGCATTTACAGATACATTCTGGATACCATCCATACCAATGTAAAATAAATGGTAAAACATTTTCATAACTTGTTTATGTGAAAGAAAATGTTAACTCAGTAAAGTGAGGCCTGCTCCTTTTCTTGAAAAATGTGTACTAAACACAGTAGTTAATCATCTACACAACAGTTTCTATTAGTGTGTCAGCACATACTCATTAGTCTTTATTTGTTAAAGCTCAGCATGTTTCAATAATTATTGATTGTCATCAGGTGTAACAAATATTACAAATAAAAAGAATTAAATAATTGCCTCTGTTAATTTTTGTTGGAAATTGAATCCAGTTCCAACAATGTCCATCATGCTAAGTATACAAGATAAAGTGGAATGCATAATTATGTAAAGTTCTTAACATTAAGAAATGTATGGTGGTAGTAGGAAGTAGCTTAAAGCATGGTGTAATGATGGAAATTTTGATTTGTTTCATTCTCGTCTGTCACACTGACAAATTACAAGGACAAAACAACTCTGTCCAACAACACAGCATGCCACAAACAAACACAGGATGATACCAAGAATCTCCTTCTCAAGATAGACAGGCGGCACAAGTTCAGCCCCCATCAAGAAAGACAATAGGAGAAGGGACACGAACCTACCTGGTTTATAAATTTTAACTTAAATAACAAAGTTTTAAAAACTTTAATATACCAAGAAAGCTGCTGTAGTTGTGGAAAAGTTGGATTTTGTATATATTGTGCATTACAAACATTATATATACAGGGTGTCCCAGGAGGAATGTGCCAAACTTCGGGAGGGTGTTCCTTATGTTAAAGTATGCCGATATAACCCAAAACACCTATGTCCAAAGTTGAACGGTTACGGAGATAATGGCCCAAGAAAAGTGTGGTCTTCTGGCAGGTCCAAGCACTGTACCTCGCTGTACCTCTCAGCTGAGAGCCCTTATCTATGTTTGTCCTTGAGTGCGATGATACTCCCTAGCCGTGCTTATGTAGTTGGCTCATACCAGAACGCGCAGTCAGCACGTTACGTCATCGCTCGCCAGTCATGTGTTATGTATACTGCTTGGAAACCTAAGGACAATTATGACATGGCGAGCGAGTATTTTGTACTTCAATTTTATGGCTTTCCGTCACTCACAAGTTAGTTTGATGTTACGTACATTATTAACGTTACAGAATCCACATATTCCTGCCAGTTTTAATATCTATTTTGTAATCAACAAGTGTGTAACCCCGGTCAAAGTTTGACACTTCTCTGGCCATTATCTCCGTAACCGTTCAACTTTGGACATAGGTGTTTTGGGTTATATCGGCATACTTTAACATAAGGAACACCCTCCCGAAGTTTGGCACATTCCTCCTGGGACATCCTGTATATGTATTTTAACACTCAAAACACCCATTGTGATAGTTGTTTCCAAAAAGTATTGATGTCCCTCTGATGATGGTCTATAGGAACCAAAACATGTAAGGGTGTTAAGTTTTCAAGTAGTAAAAACTTCAATAGTCACATTGGAGGGAGTTGTTTTGTCTTTTTGTGGAAATTTTATTGCACTACAGTTCAAGGTAAGAGTTTGTTATGAAACACTTGGTGTTAATCATACACTGTGGACTTGTATATTCTTCTTGTATTAGTCGATAGTGTGAAGATGCTGCTAGTTCTGCTGTGTAGATGGTTAACCATGACAGTTTATTTACAAGCATGCAAGAGGATGCAAAAACTGAAGAGTGTTATAAACATTCCATGGTAAAGAGCACTTACCCACTTAGGAATCTACTCAGATATAAGAATTTATATATGAAAGCTATAAAATTCTTTGGGTAATCATGTCATTCATTAACTGATACAGAAGAACAGTGTTTGTGATTTGATGATTCTCAGGTTCTCATATGCATAAGATTATTCTGGTTGCCTTGGAACATACGATACATTTCCTGATCTGCATTATAAAGTGGGATGCTTGTTATGTAACTTGATTAGGACATTATTTCTAATTTTTTTAATTGTGTTCTTTCAAATATTCCAAATATACTTGTGGGAGCCACCCATATTGAATCAAGTGCTAGCCGATCAGCACGGCTAACGAGGACCTCTCCTGCCAGGTGTCAGCACTCAGCGCCAAGTGGGCCCACCCTTGCTTCAGCTCCGGGGATCCTCACCCCAGCTCCAGGAAACACCGTCCGTGCAGCAGGTTCCTCTCCCGAGATGATGCTGCATTCACCATCGCCACTACAGAGGTCTGCCTCTTTATTCATTGTCATGGTGGGCGAACCAATGGGTATTGGAGCTGCCATGGCTCGGCCTGATCATCCAGCACTTGATTCGATGTGGGTGGCTCCCACGTCCTGTTGTTTTTATGACTGTCATTATTTGCTTGTTGCTGCACAGGTTGAATTAAGTATTGATAATGATGTGGCATTGTTTTTTTCATTCATAATGTTTATGGTGAGTTCTGATCATTGCATGGAAGTTACATTAAATAGCATGGAATAAGAGGATTGTTGTGAATGATGAAGGGGGAAACATATGGAAGAGATCAGACATGACCTATTTTGAAGTACTTTCCCAGCATTTGTCTTGTAGAACTACAACTACGTGTATTTTAAAACTATATTATTTGATGTGTGAAGTATAGGTGCTGAATGCCCTACTGAGATTAGAAGTGGGTACTGTGTTTATGACAGTCAGTTAACTTAGTACACTAACATACTTTATAGCACAGTATGGATGCTGTGAAGCCAGAGCTTGATTCAGATGGTGAGCTATAGCGGTACCCCATTTCTTTCCAAGAGGACTTTGAATTTGTAGACATGAAAGATACCCCTTCTGTATGGAAGGAAGTGAAGGTGAGTTATTCATAGTTTGCATCTGAACTAATGACCATTTAGTGTCTCTCTTGTGTCCAGTTATTTTGTGGAGCAGTTGTATTAAGAGCTAACAGTTGCCCTGTCTGTGAAATTTCTTTCTACAAAAATTCATATTGTGGTCTTCCAGTTTATGACATTGTGTAGTTTACTCGTATAGTCAGTATGTTCTGGAGAAATGTATATCATCTTCAGGCTGGCTTCTACTCTGAAGAAGGGGGAAGTATGTTTCTTTGAAACACTGGTAACCATCTAGCAAACCACATGGTAGCATAACCAAGGAGACTACAATATGAAACATCAGTGCTTTTAAAACCTCAAACCTTGTAATCATTTTACTTGCATGCTGTCAGAATGATCCAGAGAACAATGCTGTATTTAAAGAAGAGAAAAAGGGTGATGTTATTGTTGAGGAGCATGAAACAGCCATTGATGGAGAGGATGAAATCACATGAGTAATGTAAAATTTTCTGTGAATGAATTTGCATGCCATGTGTGTTTGCTATCGTATTCTGTTTGTTGATATGTTATTTCATTGTTACATGATATGATAATGTAACATATTTTATGAAGATTTATATTTAGCTTTCTTATCTTACTTCATCCACTTATGGATTTCAAATCCCTTACACACTTTGTATTTTATCATTATTAGATGAGTGATGAAATGCCTTCTGAATTTCTGCTGACCATCTTCCAAAATTAACTTGCCTCAAGGAAGCAGGTAACTTATTTTTCAGGTCCTGGAAATAATCCACACTATAGGAGACATGGAAAATGAAATTTAAATGTCACAGAATTTATGTTATTGTGAGGTGCATTTAAATGCTTGAGGACATTACGTTCTACAGTTTCTGTAAAACTGTGTGAAGTGTGGTGATTTAATTACAGATCATTCATTCATCCAGTAATTCTCATTCAGTATGTGTCAAACAGAGTTGTGCTTACTGTGTAACTTACTTGTGTGACAGGCACTGTTTTCCTTCCTGCAGCGTTGATGATTATGAGGCTATAAAGTTTTTTTTTGTTTGACTGAATATAATCATCAGAAATTTCCTTATCCAAATGGTTATAATACCTGTATGTATGGATTGTTGAATGATAATGATAAATAATATATTAATATATTCAGTGTTGTTTAGCTGAATAATTAAACTCTTGAGACACGTGTGGCAACTTTCAGGACAGATGTAGCTGAGTGACCTGTTATAAATACATATTTATTTTGCAGGATTCAAGAAAACGTCTGTGTCCCAGATCCATTTTCTGGTTCAAACAGGGCATGTATATTTATTAAAAGAAATTCTTTTTCAGCACATTGTATGTTAATATTAGACCGCTCAACAGTTATATATAGTTTTTCGTACTATGTGAGTGATTTGAAATGAACAGGAAATATGTAACAGTATATTTATATTATATGAAAGGCAAGATCTCTTACCAGAACTTAAAAGAAAAATAACAGTATTTTGAGAAGATGGAGTGAAAACAAATTCCATTTGGGTTCTGTTCTTTTCTACTGGTAAATGAAGTAGACAGTGAAATGTTTTTTGTCCTGTGTGTCTGATTCTTTGTAATGGTAAGCACTGTGTCTACCTATCTATGACAGTTGTTCGAATGAAACACTTTCACTTGTTAATTTGGACATAGACATCAATGATGTGATGGTGCACTGGTTCTACAAGTAGTCCAGTGAGTTCATTGTGGACAGGAACCATCGAGTGGCACATCAGTGGGATGTGTGTGCCAGTGCCCACAGGGTTTGTTTTTGTGGTCTCTGCTTCTTCACCCAGTGCTAACCCAGAATCTATTCATTTTGAACAACCCTCAGGCATTGGAAATACTTTTGTTTAGAGTGTTAAGAGTGACTTTTATGCATTCAAAATGAGTTTGAATTCCATAACAGATAGCAGTAGAAATTAAATCAATCAGATCCATGATTGTTGTTGGTTTCAACTGTTATAACAAACTATAATACAGCATTTGGAAGAAAGATTAATTTATTAAATTGACTGTGGTAGTAGAACCCAAAGATTCACCTCGTTCAATATCAAGGCTTGCCTTTAGACATGATAAGGGACCAGTTCTATGTTTCCTGTACTCAGAACTCGATTAGTTTTAATGTTATCCACCATCTCCTAGATTTTCAAAGTGCTTCCCAAGTTCGTCACCAAAATCTGATGCACATTTCTCGTCTCTCATCTGATCCACCAGTCTAACCTATAGCAAATGTCTTTGATTTCACTATTACCTTTGTAGTATTAAGTGACATGTAAAATCAAGCCCTGTTTTAGCCTATTATGAACTGAAATACATATCAGATAAATCTGTATGTATGAAATGCTTAGGTATGTTTCTGCTCCTCACCAGTTGGAACAAATTCCCAGGAATGCCGATGGAGGTGCCACTTGATGGCTGCTTACAGGGAACACACATGAAGCAGATAACTACAGAGAACATGTATGAGAGCACATCAGAGCAGTGGCATTCACATCTGCACAGAAAGTAAATTGCCATCCGGAAATGGTTCATACAGTTTCTGGATGTGGCCAGATTTACCATTTTTTTTTCTCACTACTGTATTCAAATGAGGCAAATAAGCTAGAATATGGACAACTTTATATTTTTGATCCTGCTGAAGCAACAAGATGGCTTGAAAACCAATCAAACCAGTAGTGTATGGCTAAAGCAATGCAATGATTGAACGAGATGCTGTGACAAGTTAACCCATTTGCTGAATTGTATAAACAGATGCATCAGATGGATTGAAATGTATGAAAAAAAAAAAGAAATGAATAAAGTCTCTTCCTAGTGTTGACTTCTGGCTTTCTCACTAGAATCCTATATGTATTCCCCTTCGTCCCTGTGCATGCTACATGCCTGTCCCAGCTCATGCTCCTTGACTTGATTATTCTAATTATATTTTCTGAACTTGTAAGTTATGAAGCTCATCGTTATGCAAGTTCCTCCTCTCCTACCACTTAATCCCTCTTTAATCCAAGCATTCTCTTCAACACTTTTTTTCTCGACTTCATTCTGATTATGTTCTTCTCTTAATGTCAGCGACCATGTTTCACATCCATACAAAACTACAGGCAAAATCATAGTTGGGCATGTTAAAAAGTTTTACATAAATACAAACTATAAATGTACAAATTCTGAAAACAGTGTCTTGCCACTTTTTTTAAGTAGTCAGCTTAAATGAAATCCATACTTTGAGCTTTATAATTATTTCTTTTCAGTGGTAATTTGAACTTCATTGAAGTTTGGATTTGGGACTAATGGTTCAGTGTTGCATGTATCAATCTTCATAAATTTGTCAGGAACATGAACATTAATTACCTTCCTGAAGTGATCTCACTATATCGAAATTGTATTTTGATACCCTCCCCCCCAGTCAGTGGCTTCCAAGTACATATAACTACATCATCATTTCCAGTGTTAGGCCTATCTAGACCTCTTATTAATATTACAAAAGAGAATCCTGCGAGTTCTATAATTGCTATTGGAATTTATAGTTAACTCATAATTTTTTCATTCATTTTACAGAGTCCTCTTCATGCAATGCATTTCTGCTTTCATCAGTTTCCACTCACTATCTCTACATACAGCTCATTATTTTTATATTGGATAATTGAAAACTTATATAATGTAGAATAATTGTCAATAACATGTACAAGAATATATATATGTTTTTATGCTTTTTACTGTAGATAATTTGAAATTATCCTGTTTTCTTGGACCTTCCTAACAACATATTCTGAAGAAAAGTTGAAGAGCATTGGTGTTAAAGCATCTCCTTGTTTCAGACAATTGTGAATAGGAAACTTGTCAGACAAATATTGATCTACACAGCCTGACTAATTTCATGGATATAAGAACTTGATGAGACTGCTATACAATACTTCCTTCATAACTGAATGAGGGACTTTCTTCAAGTCTGTGAATAGCTGATGTACCATCTCTGTATACTCCCATTTTCTGTTCAGTATTTAATGAATGCAAAAAATCTGATCAGCAGTTGTTATGTTAAAACTCACACTGATGATACCCAATAATTTCTCATCTACATATGGACTCAACTTAGAAAGATAATGGATAAAATTGTGTATGAAGTTAATAACAGTGATATGCCTTGAATTCATGAATGTTACAAAGTGGGAACATTCTATTCTTGATAATTAGAATTTTGGATATGACAAAGTTACTACTGTAACTCCATTATCATTACTAATTTCATGTTAACTGTCATTCCCACTTGTTTGTTTGAAAGTATCATTTCTACCTACTTGGGCATTGAAGTCTCGTAATAAAATGTTCCTGCAGTACTTGAGTTGTGTTTATAATTGTCTTATTCAGCTTATAATCTCTGTAGTGTAACTTAGACTGGAAATATCATTATGACAAAGGTTCAGTTTCTTCCATATATCAAAACTTTGATAAGCAATACATAAATATGGAAATTTTCACTGCTGACCCGGCAGAGTAGATGCCTGTCATATTGACATGTTCGAGGAACTAAGGAATATCACAAAAGATTTAGCCAGGATAGTCAATGTCTTAGCTGAGGTTCAAACTGGTCACCTCCTGAATGTAAATCAAAAGTGTGAATTTTCTAGTACTCATGAAATATTTACACGCTCCAGATATCCCACCATTTGTAACTCTTTAAAGCACAGTAGTTACCATATGTACCATTTTCTGAAACATTAAAATAATTTTTGGAAAAAAAAAAAAGTCTCTCTTTGCTGAACAGTGATAACAGATTGGTCTGTGTAATGGACATAGTGTGTTTTCTGTGAAGTAGGAACTAAATTTTTTAAATATTGTAGGAAAGTTTTCATCTTCAGAGGTTAAAGATATGTTAATTATTCTTCACATCACAACCATGCATGATATTATAGTTCACTGATTGAGTATCCCTTATATTTGAATTGCAGCAATTCCTTGTGGCTCCACCAAGAAATCTAAATGCCCCCACTGGCTACTAATACTATAAATACTATTGTCATCATCATTATCATGGTGGTCATCATCGTTATTGTTATTATCATTTTCATTTTCTGCTTCATCATAAGCTTCATGCTTTTGGACTTTCTGGTGGTTCTGTAAACTGGTATCACAATTAGCTAACTAACAGACAGTCCCAGATCCACGTTTCTAGAACTCTTTCATCACCTTTTAAAATACTGTCATGATTTAGGGGTGGTATGGATTTGTGAATGGATTTATTGACCATTTATACTCACCACTCAAAACTACAAGTAATTACAGCACTATCACTAATCTGCACACTTTACAAATCACCACAGCACCCACTAAACCTTTTTCCAGCCTGCTGTGTGGCAAAGACTTCTAACAGTGGAGATTCTTCAGCTTCACACACTCAGGTTCTGTCTTCACAGCCTCCCATGCAGAATTCTCTGTCAGCTCACTGTCAACTGAACTATAGTGCCATCTATTCTCAGCCTCCCTTGTAGAACTCAACTCTCAACTGACTAGCTTCCAGGCTGGCAGCCATTTCACACCAACCTTCACAGGCTGACTTTCAGCTAATTACTGTTAACTGACAACTAGCTGCGTCACCCAAGTTGTCTTCAAAATAACTCTGTGGCAGAGACCACATAATAAAACCCTGGTTCCACTGTTGTAGTCCAGCTGTTACAGCTGCTTATCAGTGGGTTACATGACAATGGCTGTTGTCTTGTGTCAAGGTGTTTGCCTAGCAACAGGTCTATACACCACAATATTCTGTGATGTTCCTTGGGGATTTGTTTTGGGTCCTTGGTTTTCATTGTGTTCATTATTGACTTATGTGATGCAATTAACTACTCTAGATAACTTCTTTTTGCTAATGATATCAAAACATACACTCTTAGTAAAATTGTATAAAGATCTAAATCTACCACAGTCTGACATTAATTCTATACAAAGTTGGTGCGCTGCCAACTATATCGAAACTCAACATTGGTAAAACCAAAGTTATATCTCAATCCTCTGTAACCTGTACCAACTCTATCAAAGACCTGGAATTATTTCTGAATTCTAAACTTCATTTCCATAATCATGTCAGCTATATATTTTCTCAATGTATTCATTTTTCAGTCTAGTTTACAGCAGAACTAATCCCTTGAATGTATGTACATACTGTATTTTATTCTAGTTGGATTGAAGCTGGAATACATGTTTGGTGTCAAATATTCTAGTATGACTACTAGAATGCCTTTACTAGAAGTCCATGTTTTAACAATTCTGTTCCTCCTGTCCATTACAGTTATGCTTTAGAGCCATTAAAATTGCAAAATTTAAGAAAATCATCACCATGCACCGTTTCTTATTCAAGTTAACCTTTTTCTAAATTCTGTTCTTCTCTTTTGGAAACTGCTGGTCTTTGACTTCCTGCTTGATATATGACAGAATGTTCATTTCAGCTATTGTACTAAAAATAGTCGTGCTAGGTGCACTTCAGCTGCTGCTGTTGTTTTTAGGGACACTGGTTTAATTGGAACCAAAATTGTTTCTCTTAATCCTATTTTATGATGGTACTTCTTAATTATAATAATGGTATTCAGGACAAATGAATGTGTGTCTATATATTGAATTGTTATTGTCTAAATGATACATGTTGCCATGTTTTGTCTTTTGTTTGTGTGTTGTTTTGTTTCTTGCGTTGCTGAAGCTTACTTTGTAATTGACCTTTGGGCTGTTGAGTAAGCATGTGAATTTAAGTGAATACAGTAATTATTATTACAGTTATGTTTTATATATCTGCAGTGCTTTTCTTGCATTCTGCGGTGCACGTGTTGAAAGACTGATTCTTCCAACATATGACTGGGGAGTCAGTCAAGATTTGTTATAACTGAACTACAGTAATAGAATAATTAAATAATAGAAACCATTTTTTTTTCTTTTGTGGGGGCGGGGGACCTATTGTGCACAAAGAAACATGGTAAAATTCAGACTGGAGAATACAAATTGAAGTATTTGTCAAAGTACCCAGTTGAGTGGGGGACACATGGTAGCAGGGTTGAGGCACCATGCTACAAGCCAGAAGGTCATAGGTTCAAGTCCAGATGAGGTGGATTTTATCAATTAAACTAATCCTTCCAACTATACTATGGCCCTGGGATCAACTCAGCCTCTAACAGAAATGAATAGCAGGAAGCCGACTTTCTAGAGAAAATGTGTGAGCCTTGACATCTCACAACCCTATGGGCCTTCATGGCCTGTTACAGGGATCAGGGACAGCTTTAACCCCCCCCTCCCCTCCAGTTGTCTGTATCCTACCAAGTATCCTTCCATTTCTATACTCTTCAATTTAGATTTTGTAAAGTAAAAAAAGTAAAAGTAAAGCTATCCCTGTAACAGGCCGTGAAGGCCCATAGGGTTGTGAGACATTAAGGGTCCCATATTATCTAGACAATCAGCTAGCAGATGGCAGTAAGGTTGTCAGCCTTACACGCTGGCCGCGCTTCACTCCCCAGGAAAATCATATAATTAATTCCTGGTACTCATTTCAGTTAGAGGCTGAGTACACCCCAGGGCCTAGTGTGGCCGGAAGGATTAAGTCAATTGTAAAAAATCCAATGACCTCATCAGGACTTGAACCCGCGACCTTCCGGCTTGTAGCGCTTGTAGCTTGTAGCCTTCTGATTCTGTCAATACTAATTTCATACTAGAATTCTGTACACATTTTCTTTTGTCTGATATAGGAATATCTGAAAAACAATCAAATTATAGGAGTAAATATGTTTTTTCAGATATATACAGTAATTTGTAGCAACTGAAAATGCAAGGATTATTCTCTGTAATAGCCCTGTTGCCTTACTAACTGATCATATTGCAATACAAACTGTGTAACCTACAGGTTATTTATTTCAGATACTTTATCTGAGAGAAACCACTATTCGGTAAGCATTAGCATTTGCTACTGGCAAAAATTAAAGGTTTTGAGCTTTCTCACTGAAATTTTATAATTTCTCTTGAAGAGCCAGCCTTTAATATTGTGAAAATTAAAACTGATATTTATTAAAAATGTGTTGTTCATATGTGTGAAAAGTTAGTAAGCACAAATTGGGAAAATTTTATCTAGAAGTTTGTTCAGGTTATAATTTATTTAACTGTCAAGCTGCTGAAAGTACCAGCACTTTCTAGCCCATATTGTGGGGCAGAAATACCTCTTTTCTGGTCATAAAGTTTTACTTATTAAGAACTTTCATTGAATGAACTCCTGCTTCTGGTCTTAAAAGAAATAAGCTTTTTATCATTCTTGTGTTATAATATTTGATTTATTGTTTAAATATTATGTGAAGTTTCTAGGCATCAGGCTTTCTGCTGTAATGAATTTACATGATTAAGTAACATCATAATTCCCTTTTTCCACAAATTTAGGTGGAGGAATGTTGATGGTTCTTGTTATCATAATCTTTGTCATATTTTCCCTTCCCCTCATTAATTGTAGCCTTAGGCATGTGAGTGAATGGTAGGTTTACATATCTTGTAATGTATTACACAGTCACCATAATTGTTTTTGTCAAGCCCATCACAGTGCACTCTAAGAAGTGATTCATGGTTCGCACTGCCAAGTCTTTTCCTTTTCTAATAGGGTAGTATACCTTCACAGATCTACTGTTAACATGTTAATGAATATGACATAATTATGTCCATTTATTGAGAAAGTGTCATGTGAGACCATAATGATATTTCATTTTGTCATAAGCTCAAGTTGCTGTAACCTCCATTTTCAAAACTTTGTCTGGAAGGACAATATCAGTGTTTTTTTTTTAATAAATCTTGGAATGACTTCCAAAGACCAAGCAGTTGCTGCTGAAAGCTGGATTGAACAGTTAGGCATTTTGGACACAGTTCTGTCTTTCTACTTGATCTTGGCATCACCGAGCTTGATGAGCCCAAAGAAACTCTTTGCTGGTTCGAAGAGTGAATAACGTAGTCCATCTACATCTCGTACTGAAATCTTGTCACCTGAAGCGAGATACACAGCTGCACTTGTGTGGCATGTATTGGATTTTGCCCGTCTCTGTTCGCCAGATGAATGAACTGTCATGGTGGTGCAGTGCAGAACTGGTTTGTCGTTCAGATATACACGGAAACCATTCACATCATGTTCATCCACATAGTATATCTGTCAGCAAAGAGTATATGTTTTAGATTATAATTCCATCAAAAATGTCTATAGATTATTTTATATAATTATGAAGAAACCCAGAATTAATAAATAACTCCATGATGCAGGGTCTTACACAGTTGGTAGTTATTCATCTTATCAAGAAGTTACTTCTTTTTAGTGACCTGAAGATTCACCACCATATTAAAAATGTTAATTACAAGGCCCAGTCCTTATATCCAGAACCTATTTCTGTAAGATCCATTTTAATGTTATATTATCTATCACTGAGTCTCCCAAGTGATCTGTTACCATGTGGCTTTCAAAACAAAATTTTGTATGGAAATTTATGTATCGCACATATTTTCTTCCTGTCTAATTTTGCTGTTCTTTATTTAATCACACAACATTAAGTGAAGAGCACAAACTGTATATCATGTTTTACTCTCCTATTTTACTTCATTTTTCTCAGATCCAGATATTTTCATCATTTTTTAAAAGCTTGTCTCTGGGGTTAAAAGACCACTTTAACACATACTTATCCAACAGGTAATGCAAAGTTACTGTCTTATGGAATATGATGCAGTGTATTCTGCAGATAGGTACCCTAAGTCTCATGTTGACTCTGACCCTGACAACGGATGCAGCATCAGAAAAATTGAGTAACCATCTGCAAGAATACATGGAGTTATAAATCTAGAACAGCACAGCCTGAAGATGAAGTTATTTGCTGCCTACAAGGCAACAGTTGACATGAATAATAATAAAGGAGATGACAATCATTATCACTTTCAAGGGGTGAGGCTTGGCATATTAAGGATATAAGAATTACTTCCAACGGTATATTAGTATGAATTGTTTTTATCTTCATGTGAGGGTGGAATATCCTTGACAGTACTCCTAAAATAGAGGTATTATTGATGGTAAAATCTGCCTGCAAGAGGTTAATAGGAAACAACATACTTGTGCATAAATGTAGTAGAGTCCACTGTCTCTCACACTGACAATTCCATCTTGTAGCTGGAAGAACCTGTTCATTCCTAGCTCCTGCATCCAGCTGCTCGCTGCCCAGTCTGTGAACTTACCATCTGGGTGTCGTAGTCTCCCATTACCTGTGTTGAAGATGAAATTGTAAGCCGCATTGTATGCACTGAAATTAAACTGAATTATCCAGCCAGTTATAACTTTTTTCCCAGATTCTATAATAAATTTTTTTAATATTCTATGAAAGTATATATATGCATGTATATATTCTATTCCATTTTGTTTAATCCTTTGAAGCATCAGTTTCTTGAAAACAATTTTAAAAAGTTCACTTCCTATCTCAGAGGCTGCATTTCCATTATAAAGCCTGATTTATTACTGCAGTTTAGGAAACCAATGTCTGTTTATTCTTAGAATCACAAAAAAGACATAAATAACGGTGGGCACATTTCACAATTTCTAATATTAAAGCATGCCGTACATATATATGATGTGGAATTGCTATTTAGAAAAAGGAACAAGTACAGAATTAAGGGAGTTTTATTTTGCATTTGGATATGTAAAGTAAAGCTATCCTTGTAACAGGCCGTGAAGGCCCATAGGGTTGTGAGACGTTGAGGGTCCCACATTATCTAGACAGTCGGCTCATAGCTGGCGGCAAGATTGTCAGCCTTATGCGCTGGCCGCACTTTTGATAAGTACTTGGAAAATTGAGATAGCTTTGTTTTCTCTCTCTCTTTAATACGTATGAATGGCACAGGAGCTCCTCAGAAACCATACTCATGCTTCTGCTGAGTAAAATATACTTATAAATGTGTTAGTAGTTACTATAGGATTCTGATGATTGTGTATAACACGCAGAGATATTGGGTTTTCGTACTTTATCCATCGTCCTGGTTGATCCAGTGATTGAGGCTATTTCTAAGGGACCCAACAGAATAGGTGTTTTTCCCCTCACCTGAGGACGGAAACAGATCCAGTTTCTGAAATGTTGTGTTTTTCTTAGTTCTCTTAAAACCAGGATGATGGATAAAGTCCGAAAACCCAATATATCTGTGTGTTATAAATGTGTTTTATATAAATCTCAGTTCACAAGTTAGCTACATATTCCTTTTGTTGATTATTCAGGACAATTCATTTCCCACTGAAGCTGGACAATCAGTCTACTCTATTATCAAGGAACTGATGGACTTGAATAGTTGGGCCTATATCAGTTTCTTTTTGTTCCACCCTCTAAACCAGTAAAATCTCCATCTCTCCCAAACAGAAATTATCTAGCTCTCTTGCAAAGGTACTTCCTTCTTTCAAAGACTAAATTGTCCCAGTCAGTGGAACTTGATAGAAAGTCTGTTATTTTGGACAAATAATTTTTGTGTGATAATAGATATGTTGCTGCTGATGTTTTAATAATTTTATTACTAATATTTTGTATCTAAGTATATGTTACTCTCTCGTCACCAAAATGCAGGGCAAAATCATGACATAAAGATAGGAAACAGATGTTTTGAAAATGTGACACAGTTCATATATTTTTGGAACAACGATAACAGATCGAAACCTGATTCAGGAGGAAATTAAGAGGCGATTGAACTTGGGTAATGCTTGCTACCATTTAGTCCAGAACCTTTCGTCTTCTCGTCTGTTGTCCAAAAACATAAAAATTAGTATATACAACATTATAATTTTGCCCGTGATTCTGTATGGGTGTGAAGCTTGGTCTCTAACATTAAGGGAGGAACATAGACTGAGGGTGTTTGAGAACAGGGTGTTAAGGAGAATATTTGGACTGAAGAGAGATGAAGTGACAGGAGGTTGGAGAAAACTGCATAATGAGGAATTTCATAACTTGTACTCTTCTCCAAGTATAATTGGAGGATGAGGTGGGCAGGTCATGTAGCATGAATGGGGGAGATGAGGAATGCGTATAGGATATTGGTGGGAAAACTAGAAGGAAAGAGACCACAGGGAAGACCAAGGCGTAGGTGGGTGGACAATATTAGAATGGATCTTAGAGAGATAGGATGGTATGGTATGGACTGGATAGATCTGGCTCAGGATAGGGACCAGTGGAGGGCTCTTGTGAACACAGTAATGAACCTTCGGGTTCCATAAAATGCTGGGAAATTTTTGANTCCATCTTCAGGGTAGAAGGAAAAATAATTAATCCGCAAGCGAAGAGAGCATGAGAACTGGAACTGCTTGTACAGGTTCTCACAGTCTCTTCGGTTGTGGATTATTTATTTTTCCTTCTACCCTGAAGATGGAGGCGATACATTCCTCCGAATCGTTGGTTAACACCACATCTACATGGTGCCACATCCCAGAAGACTGCTTTCTTCATAGTCACGCCACCGTGAAAAAATCAAATCTTACAAGTTTATTGATGTTCACAGTCTTCAGTGGAGGATGATACATATTCCAAATATGTGACAATGTTTATGCTACTATTAGTAATTTTGGTGACACTTTACAAGTTATGAAGGTCACTTCCTGGCCCCCTCTTCTTACCTTCATAGTGAGTGTGTCCCAACTTATAATTTGAGGTGTCACCATCATAGTGTGCTGCAGCTGTTAGTCTACTGGATCTCACTGGATGGTCATCAAGTCCTTCAAGTTGTGCTAGGTTCTTGCGCTGTGGCCTGTGCTTCTTGCGGCGCATGCGAGACTTCCCTGTATGTCCCTCTGCTGTAATTATGTCACCAGGACCTGATACTGTGGCTCCCTTTGGTGCTCGTTGCTCCTGTTTACATGGTAGAGTGGTATAGTACTTTGTTAGGCAATAAAATAAATACATGGTGTTTTACACAGATGAGATCTAGCAAGTTGGTGTAATTGTAATCAGAATAATATAGACTGTATTTGGGAGTACCCACTTTTTAGTTTACTTAACAATGCTCTGAGGAAGTAGACTACATAGTGCTGAATAACTTGATGATGGTGAATAATGGACTGGGAAGAATATAAAAGGAAGTAGTTATAGCTTAATTTAAGGTAATATTGTAACATATCTATTCAGCATCTACCTACAAGAATCATGAATTGTATTACTTCTGATAGTTTTTCAATTTGAATAAACATCTTCAAAGATGGCAGAATTCTGCTGGAACATGTACAGTATCTCTTGCACATTGCCGAGGTTGTCATCCTGATTCTGGATGATGGATTATCTGCCTCTTTCTGATTAGTCAAATCAGACTTTGTCAGGCATGAATACTGAGCCATTCTCAAAGCCAGAATACTTCAGTTACAGAAAGTATCTCTATTTTTGCATGAGCTAATTACAAACACTAGAGTCCTTCTTTAAACTAACATTAACTTTTTTAGTTTATAATGTAACAGTGCTGCCAATATACAGATCATGTAGTGCTTAACACTGATTATTATTCTTAAGTTATTTAATGACATGTTTCAGTTATTTCAAGATAGTACAATCACATGGGTACACTGAAGAGGACCATAAACACCTTAGTCTGGATAAAGAGTAATTTTAGATTTAAACATGGTACCTCCCACATATAAGAGTAGAGGGTGGCAACACTGATCTGCTTAGTATTCTTTTAATATATGTTTGATAAAACATAATTTCATGCATGTTCCTTCTGACTCCTTAGGAACCTACCATTTCCTTGTAATGAGTATAATGTCTGCAATTGAACCATATCATCATAAAGTACCTGAAAGGACCCTTTTTGCCTATATGTCATGCATGAGATGTTGTATCAAATGGTTGACACCAGTGTTTCATGTTCAGGAGTTCCCAGGTCTGAACTTTGGCTTAGAGATTAGCCACCCTATCTAAGGCTTTTCAGGTTTTCCTCAATCCCTTCAATAAAATGCTAGGAATAAATTAAAATAAACCACAACAACTTCCTTTTGCATCTTTTCCAGTTGTTCATTCATGATCATCCAAAGTTTAAGTATACATCATACCCTTATTCAGTTTCTGAGCCTTGGGGATACAGAGGTAAGCTCCACTCATCGTAGACTTCTATATTTAGGTGAAAGGGAGTGGAAAGCAGCATGTTCTGAATTTTATATCCCATCAGGCATACATTGTATGCTGGTGGTCTAAAACAATACTTAACACTGGTTCATTTGGAGTCATACTGACATGATGGAAGCAGTCATAAATTATGTCAAGGTACTGTTTCTGGTGGTGGGCACGCACTAGCTTGGTTGAGGACATTGGATTTTTTTCAATTGACCTAATCCTATTGGTAGGCCCTGGGGTTTACTCAGTCTCTAACAGAAATGAGTACCAGAAATTAACTAAATAATTTTCCTGGGGAGTAAAGCGCGGCTGGGGCGTAAGGCTGATAACCTTACCGCCATCTTTGAGCCGTTGTCTAGATAGTGTGGGACCCTCAACGTCTTAGAACCCTATGGGCCTTCACGGCCTGTTACAGGGATAGCTTTACTTTCTTTACTTATTGTTTCTAGCAGAGCATTCCTTACCAGTGTGTTACAAACCTATTCAATGACACTTAAGAAATGAGAAAATTTTCCAAATAATATTCCAAGGAGTCAAAATCTGGTAGCCTTGGATATATCCGGTCATGTTACTAACTCCTTTACTGCTACTGCTATAGCTGACAGCTGCACACACCTGGTACACCCTAACAACTGTCTCTCCATCAGGAAGTTTCTGTTGTTGGGGGTGCAGTGTGAGCGCTGCAGCTGGTGGTGGTGATGGTGGTGGCAACAGGGTATCACTGGAGTCTGTCTGCATGACCCGTGATACTCGTGAGATGATAGGTCCTGGTGCGCCAGTAGTTGTTTTTTGTGACCGGTCACGATACCTTCGGTATACTGGTGCATCACTGTATTGTGGACTTCCTACATACTTCTTCTGTTGTGACTTGGATGACCACAGTGAACTGACTCTGGACAAAAATGTAATAAGTGTTACAAATGAAGATTATTTTTTTCTGTGATGTGGTGTCAGTAAATATGTACCAGCTTACATGACGTAAACCTCAAATCTAGCACAGTTATCCTCTCTGGGGAGGCTGCAATTACACTGCATGACATGTTTTAGCAAAAGGTTGTATTTGAGAACTGAAACTGAAGGGTCTGAAGAAAAGCTTTCTGAATGGTGATAACAGGATAATCCCCTTTGGGATGACTTTCATACCACATTTCATGAAAATTAGCGTGTTATGTTCTGAAGTCAAAGTGGGGTCAGTGATATCACCCTGGAAGACTTTCCTATATTGAAATTAGATTAAAAGCATAAAGGATATTGCTCGTAGAAATATTACTTAAATTAGCCACAAGAATAAAGACAATACAGGCAGTATATGAAAGCCAGCGGAGAGTCAGAGGAATGCTGGTTCTTTCCTTCCAACATATAGGCCTAACACAATGTTTCATCCTTGAATGTGTTTATCATCTCAGTTCACATGCTTCAGTGATACACCCAAAGTAATATTTTTGGTGTACTGAAAAAGAAAGTTAATCATAAATTGTCAAAATGAGATGCATGTATCATAACACTCACCTTATCAATAGAACTAAATATAAATTGGGTTATAGCTCTAACCATAATATTTAGTGACATAAGGAAATACTCGTAGCACAAATGGGGGAGACAAGGAATGCATATAAGAAAGCCAGAAGGAAAGAGACCACTGGGAAGACCAAGGCATAGGTCAGTGGACAATATTAAAATGGATCTTAGAGAGATATGATGGGCTGGTATGGATTGGATTGATCTGACTCAAAATAGGGACCAGTGGCTCTTGTGAACATGGTAATGAACCTTTGGGTTCCATAAAATGTTTGGAAATTCTTAAGTAGCCGCAGAATTGGCGGCTCCTCCAGAAGGACTCAGCTCAATGAGTAAATAAGTAAGTAAGGAAATACTAATTTAAATACATTACTTATATTTCATAAATATCTAATACTGTTTCTTATTCTCCTGAAAAGTGGTGTTCAGTGAGTTAACCCTTTTCTCTGTAACCCCAGAGATATGTTAATGTCAGTATGACTGATAAACTAAGTCTCTGGAAATTGAACTAGAACTTTAAACATCAATGATGTTAAAGCCAATTATTTTCATCATCTTGGTCTTCAACAGGCATTTCTACCGAAATTCAACATGGTATTACATATTTACCCATCCCAGCTAAATTTCCAGCCAACAGTACTATTTTACATTTATCTACCCTTACAATAATACAACGTACTCTGTGTGTATCCCTGTTGTGTATTATTACCCTTTCATCCAGTATTTCATATCTCTGGCACTATGACGTTCTCCTTAATATTTTCCTTTTTAATATTTGCAATTTCTCTTCTTACTTCAGGGTAACAGAATCTTTTTCACAACTATACAGATCCAGCTGTGGGGCACGCGGTAGCGTAGTTGGTTGAGGCGCTATGCTACAAGCCAGAAGGTCGCGGGTTCAAGTCCCGATGAGGTCATTGGATTTTTTTCAATTGACCTAACCCTTCCAGCCGCACTATGGCCCTGTGGTTGACTCAGCCTCTAACAGAAATGAGTACCAGGAATTAATTAAATAATTTTCCTAGGGAGTAAAGCGCGGCCGGCGCGTAAGGCCGACAACCTTATCGCCATCTATGAGCCGATTGTCTAGATAATGCGGGAACCTCAACATTTCACAACCCTATGGGCCTTCACGGCCTGTTACAGGGATAGCTTTACCTTTTACTTACAGATCCAGGTAATATTACTCTGTATTATATATAAAAGAATATTACTGCATTACATGAAATATTACCTAAATAATATTGTATACATACTGTATAAACATGTGTTACAGTAAATGTGAATAAAACGGTGATTGTTTACAATAACCTGTAATTACATAGAATTACCAAAAACAATGGCAACAGTGATAAATCTTCTAGGTTTATTCATCACTGTGTCGAATCCGGACTGCCTCTGCCTGCATCTAGAGTAAAATGTAACTCTGTTTTCAAATATTGATTTTAATTTCAAATTAATTGGAAGCAGAGTTCGACAACATGCCTGTTGGTCAGTGCTGTATCAAAGTGCAAAAAGTTTGTTGCTGATATCACAAAATCATGAAGGAACTGTAGAAGTATTTCGTCAGAATGGCATGAGAGTAACTTACCTGTGATAGCTTTTGATAGGATTCTCTGTACTTCCCCAGTCCAGGGAAGTGTCTTTTGGCTCGTTCTTGCCGCCACTGGACACAAGGGACTCATAAAGTCTCAGCCCCTCGCTATTATTGTTTTGATGCTTGAAATCCACGCCATAGCTTTCCGAAATAATGGGCAACACCGAAGAATGGATCTCCCTCTTGGATCGTTCTGTGGAGAGATCAATGCGGTGAGGTGCATGGAAGACCTTACGAGTTAGAAGGCTGACGTTTTCATCACCAAAGCTCACCAGAGTCCATTTTTGATACAGTTCAGAGGACTGCAGTGAATTTATATATGATTAATTCTAATATCATTCTATGTCATTCTTCATCTCCCATCTTGCCTCTCACCATGAAGTTTTCCACACAGATTCCTTTGTTCTTTTCTTATGTCCATGCATATATGCTTGGCCGGGATAGCTCAGTCAGTATAGTAACAGGCTACGGGCTGGACGGCCGGGGTTCGATTCCAGGCAAGATCAAGAGATTTTTCTCTATTCCACAAAGTCTAGACCGGCTTTGAGGCCCACGCAGCCTCCTATCCAATGGATACCGGGTGGGGGTGCTCCTTTGCCGCGGGTAATGCGGCTGGGGCGTGAAGCTGACCACTCTCCTCCAACTAATACCGAGGTCAAGAATGATGGAACTAATTTCCCCTCCCCCATACGTCTTCATGGCGTGGTGCTTAATTAAGCACAGGGACAACTTTACCTTTTAAGAGTGTATATATTAAGAACACCACAGTTCTCTTTATTCCGAGCTGGAATATCACTTACGCCCAAAACAACGTCATCAGACATTTGTTTTTAAATACCTGTTCTCTCAAAACGAAAGACAAGTTTTGCTCGCATGCAAAATAATGCACGGGCCATATGCAGAAAAGAAAAATCTATTCCTCCTGCCGGGGGTCGACCTCAGGCCGTCCATCCCGTCGCTATACGTACCTTGGTGTCCCAGCCCCGTGTACTATTTGGGTATTAGTATTATTTTAATTAGTCTAAATCAGCGATCCAGTAATTTAACAATGCGTTCCAAAACCTAAGCAAGCTGTTGGTCGTGATGGAAAGAGCTGGAATGAAGTTTTAGAGTGGATTTAATTAATCTGAGTCAGTGATCCCATTATTGGCCGTTAGCCTGCTGGGTTTATTTTGTGTCATCTGAGTATGGGAAGAGGTGAAAGAACCAGTTCACTGACGCGCTCAGAAACCTGAGCAAGCTCATTGGTCCTACAGTTCATGGCATCCTGTTGTATCGTGTGGATCTGACTTTGCGTTCCACTCCTTGCCGTCTACTTGCAACTTCCGTTAATTTTCACTTGTCTTCTTCTCTTAATTGTATATCACTATATGTTTCGGCCTAATTGGCCATCAAAGAAAAATCAATAAACCAACAAAACCGCAAGTAACAGCAGACTAGACCACGCCATAGTTCAAGCGGTTAGTCGCCGGCTTCCCAGCATGGCGGCCCAGGTTAGAGCCCAGGTCATATCATGTGGGACTTGTGGTGGACAAAGTGGCGCTGGACAGGTTTTCTCCCAGTACTTTGTTTTCCCCTGCCACTTCTCATTCCACCGACTGCTTCACTCCGGTCACCATTATAATCCGGGGCTGGTACATTAGGCCAACTAGTGGCTGACGTACCAAGTGGACTCAGTCTCACACCACCCGAAGAAAATAAAAAATCAGATATGTAGAGACAGAATATACATAAACATGTACCTTAAAATAAAACTATAATACAAATAACCCGTCACATATTACAGATAAGACAAACATGCGCATGGCAACAGCATGATAACCCACATAACCTAGAATAGTCCGGGGCATTTACACACACAAAAACAAGCAGAATAACACTATAGCAGACCAGCAGATTCCTTCATTACAACCTGTACACCTGATTATGGCCAATTGGGCCGAAACATGTAGTGATATACAATAAACAGAGGAAGACGAGTGAGTGCACATAGACGGTAAGAAGTGCAACACAAAAGTCAGATTATTGGTCCTAGTTTTTATTATTAATCTTAGTGGGGTGAGACTGAGTCCACTTGGTACTGCGGCCACTACTGGCCTACTCTACCAGCCACAAATGATAGATGATGGTGACTGTGGAGCAATTGGTACAATGAAGATTGGCAGGAGAAAACGAAGTACTCGGAGAAAACCTGCCCCAGCGCCACTTTGTCCACCACAAATCCCACATGACCAGACCCGGGCCGCCGCTGTGGGAAGCCAGCGACTAACCGCGTGAGCTATGGCGCGGCCTCTGGCCCTAGGTTAGTACTATAGGAAAGGCACGTGTATCTTACCGGCTGAACCGGATGTGAGGTCTTCCTGATGCTCAAGCTTCTCGTGGCTGTGCTTGTGTCTGTCCTCGCTGACTGTGTTCAAATGTTGTTTCTTGCCGTGTGTTGGACTACTTGGCATCTTATCCTCTAAGGAATAGTCAATGTCGTAGTCATCACTATCACCACCACCACCACCATCATCATCATCGTCGTCGTCGTCATCTGAGGCTGCTTCCTCAGCGTACACCTAGACCAATTATTATCTATTAACATTAAAACAATAAGAAAACGTCCTGAACTGCACACAATTTGTAGCTGTGTTCAGTATTGCTAACAGCCACTGTAGATGAAAATATTTCCAGTTTCAGCATTCAGGTAAATTTCATGCAGTGTTTGCACGAAATACATATAATGAAGACATAATGGAAAGCTCATGTTTGTACATATGTACCTCTGCATATTTATCTTATAAACTATATTTAACGAATCTAGAGTAAATTTGGTATTGGAGGCCTAGTTAGTCACAGTAGCCGCGCGGTCTAAGGCATGAACTGCCTTCGCTCGCTCGGACGCAGGGATCGTGGGTTCGAATCCCACTCAGGGCATGGATGTTTGGTGTGTGTATGCGTTTATTCTGTGTTTAGGTAGAGGCCTTGAGACAAACTGATCACTCGTCCAAGGAGTCCTACCTTCTGTGGAAAATGATTTCGGAACTGATTAAGAGGCCAGGGCCCTGAATGGGTTGAAGAGCCATTAAAAAAAATTTTTTGGAGGTCTACACCAAAGGTTGTCTGCCGAATTTTGTTTTGATTCGTATCGAGGTAGTTCAGCTACTAAAGTGATTTCGTATGCGAAATCAGCTGTTGATGCCATATTTAAACCGAGAACCTTGTGATGACTCACGTAATCATTGAGTCATGGAAGTAGAATGATGTACTGATCTTAAACATTTCCCCTAATTTAATGTCGCGACCTTAAAAGGAAGGTCAAACATTCGTGTCAAACGAAAGGGCATTAGTACAGTACCATGACTGACAAATTTCGCATTGTGCTTGCAAAAGCTCCAAAATGCAATTATCCGTGTACATCACGTGCAGATACGTCAGTTATTAAAACTGTAAAGATGACCATGAACTTCAATAAGCAGATACCAGCAACCGAAATGACGAGTTTCAGAACTTCGAAATAAAGACTTTTAGAACTTCTGAAATGAACAAATATTATAAGTTACAGAATCAATAAATAAGCACTCTTCATTTGCTAACACAAAGACAATAATTTATTTTCCTCAAGCACACAACTAATAAACTGATATGTTTATCAATAACTTTGTATTAATAGCCCTTCCCCTTCCTTTCTTGCTATCTATTGTGACGTATTGCGCTATGCAGGACACCCGCTCCCCCGCCAGCGGTGACGTAACAACAACGGAGCGCTGTCGCTGCTACGGTAAAAGGCCAGTGAACACTCCGCCACCCTCCCCCGCGGTGACGTAATAGCACTTCCCACTGTGACGCAACAGGGGACTAGGCCGGTAACACGAGGCAACAGGGAACGGTATAAAAAGCCGGCTGAGCAGTATGTGAGCCAGAATGTGCGATCAGGAGTGACACAATGTGGAACGGGAAGTCGCCGAGTGCAGTTGAAGTGTAGCAGACGCCGAGAGCAGGAGAAGTATTTGTGATACTGCAGATGGCAATAATCGTGTAATTGTGAATTGTATAAGTGTAAGAACGAATGTGCAATAAATTCCCTAGATCCAAGACGACGTGAAGTTACTTGTCGCGTTATACACCCAACACGTGACACTATCTTTCCTGCTTCATTTCCAATCCAAATTTCTTTCTAAAGTGTTGCGTTATGAAATCGTTTGATCAGTGACGAAGTTTTTTTCCCCCTGATCAATAAAGTTCAATTTTAAATGTCTGTTTATAACTTGTAAAGCATTAATCGGTATAGCAACTAGGTTAAGGGCTAGCCGACTGAGGGATCGGTTTCGATTCCCGGCAGAAGTAAAGGAGTTCTCTTCTCTGCAGTGTCCACATCTTCACTGGGGCCCAGTTAACCTCCTGTCCGACGAGTACTGGGACATATTTCTCCCGGGGGTGAAGCGGCCGGAGTGTAAAGCTGGCAACTGATTTACGTCTAATGCACTGAACGGCTATATTTCCGCTCCCATCTGTTTTCATGGTGCGTGCCTAATTAATCACAGGAACAAATTTGTCTCTCTACCTTTACTTGTACTATCTGTCTATCTATGGCACTTTTTGGGCATTGGCCGCTTTTCAGCTTCTTGGTAGGACTCCTTGGACGGGGGATCAGCCCTTCGCAATGCCTCTAGCTTCATACAGAATAGCACAAACAGACTAAACGCACACAGACATTCATGCCTTGAGTGGGATTAGAACCTACGATCCCAATGTTCGAGCGAGCGAAGATAGTTCATGCCTTAGACCACGCGGCCACTGTGACAGGCTCTAGAATGTACCCCCAGTACTAAATTTAATCGTAAACTGAAAGCTGAATCATGCAAATCAATGGATACAAGCTGTTCCCGCCACCATAGAGCGTCAGTTCCTTCTGAAAAATGAAGCCTGTTAGGAGCAGCACATGTGCACACCCATTTAATTTCGAGGGCTCATTTTATAGTGTACACTGCGTGCAGTTCTGCTACAGCGATCTTGAACACAAGGACAGATGCCCTCTTTTCAGTGTTCAAATTAGGTTTCCCTTTTTTTTTTCTGTTTCATTGAGTCTTGCGAAAAGGCAAGCATGGCCTTCGGAAGGGTGGGCAACCCCCGCGTGTTACATATGCCCGCATTTTGTAGGCGGCTTACAGCACTTTACGGAAAATTTAGGTCAGTAGCACGAAGGTCAAGCGAGTTCTAACCACTTGCTCCTTGCTACCTTTCTCCCTCCCACAGCTCCTTGCATGGTTCGTTAGCATTCTCACTTATGTACAGCAGCCTCCAGTATTTCTGTACGGCGCTGAGCTTCGATGTGTAGCAGTTGTCTTCGGTTAGTATCAGTCTTACGGAAAGAGAACATGAAAATGTACAGATTGGTTTCACAGGCCTTAGGATAAAGAGGTTCTTGTGAGCAGGGTAATGAGCAGGGCCCGGATTTTGATGACATGTCATCTTTTTTTTTTCATTGTATCCTACGCGATGCTCTTAAATATATAAATCTCGGATATGAGCTGCTGGTTACAGAAATGTAAATTTTATGCGTGATTTTTTTGTCATTTTTTGACATTTTTAGTTTTAAGGTCATTTTTTCATTTTGGGGGTAATTTTGGGGTAAATTTTTTTACCTTTAAGGGTATTTCTTGTCATTTTTGGCCATTTTAGGGATTTTTTAAAATATGTTTTCTGAAATGTGAATAACATGGAAGCGAAGTGTTCTTTCTTTTCTCCTTTGGGTCATTTTTCTGGATTTTTCTGTCATTTTTTGAATACTTTCAGGTCATCAAAATCCGGGCCCTGCATATTAGATTTTTGGGTCATATTTTAGGTCAATTTTTTAAATATTTTCATGTCATCAAAATCCGGGTCCTGGTAATGAGCCTTTGGATTCCAAGTAGTGGATAATTTCTTCACCAGCTGCGCAACTATTCAATGATTCTCACAATGAACAACGATTATTTGCCTAAACAGTATTAACTGACTCGTCTTTGGAATGGAGAAGCGGTGTGTTTACTGTGGCGTATAAATTGCATTCTTAAATGTTAGTTGTGTAAAATTCTTACGTCAAAGGGTATAAAATCCATAAATCAACTACCAAGGTAGCGAGCTTCATCCTTTGTATCGACTGAGTTACTGAAGCACTCTTTACACAGCCAACGGTTGCTCGGTCATGACTCTGGGGTACACATGCTATTTTCGGTAAGACCTCCAACAGTGGCGACCTTCCACAACATAATCACTTGCGAGGGCGGACTCGCGCCTCACCAGCACCTCAAATGGAAAAAGTGCTCAAGTCCACTTATGAATTTTCTATAAAATGCGACGCTTTCGACGAGGTTGTTTGACTTCGGGTTGTTCAGCATTGAACTGAAACTTCTTGCTGCCATGTTTCGTGTAAATTGCTGCAATTTCTGCCATTCCCACGGCCAGCTTTCTAGTCACTTTACATCAAAACTGACTTCGAACGGTGCACGTGGTAGAGTAGTTAGTTGAGGCACTATGCTACAAGCCGGAAGGAATTCTGAGAATTATTACTATCTTACTGCAACGGCGAGCAACTTTCTTTCTTTCTTTCTTTCGTTATTTACTTCTTTCCTTCCCCCTCCCTTCTTTCTGTACTAATAGGCATATGCCCGAAAGCCAGTCTGGGCTAAGCTAAATGACAGTAAAATTCGTATTTTATTATCTATATTATACTCTCATTTCGGAAAAGCTATTAACACTAGGTCTAATACTACGAAAAATGAGAATATTATCACGTGTATGCTGACTACAGACGGAAATTGGATTTATTGAACACTTGCAGAACGTAACTATAGCGCGATCGCCAATTCACACGCTCTAGATCTTCTTAGTTTCCTGTGTCTTCACAGACTGTCGCCTGGTAACGGCTTGCAACGCCGTAGCTTCCTCATCTTCCGTGTTCACATCCTTGCTGGCTGGCGAATGTCTCACAACTCACTAAATTCTAGACATGTTCTGCTTATAACACGTCGGCACATACCGCATAGAAAACATTTCTCCAAACAGTTCTTCTGTTGCATCACGTGGCTATCACTCGGTCTGCTTAGAGAACACTATTCGTGTGTTGCTGTTTACGGCCACTACCTAGCAACAGCCGTTGTTTACAGGGTCATTACTTAACAACGGGTCCACATGCTATAATATTTTGCCTATTTGTAAGCCTATGTTTGTACATTTTCGTACAAGAAAACATAAATTGTACCCAATGTCAGTGGCATGTACTTCTGAAGATGCTGTATAACCGATAGGAAGCAACTTTCGGTGCATTCGTAAACTTTCTATTGTTGACCTTCAAATACCAAATTTAACCGAAATAACTTCACCCCTTCGAAGTTGTAACATGCAAATAGACACGTTTGCACTTTGTGGAAAGAATGCATGTTAAGTTCATCAGCGAGCAACGGTCCTGCTGTCCTCTCATTACGCCCGTATTTCAGGGGTTCTTCACAAATCCTGTAATTAAACTAAGACGTGGAGAAACCACACCATTAACATGATAACATAAATCAAAGACCCGTAACATATCTATGTCTCGGGG